AGGACACAAATATCCAATCCATAGCAAGAAGGATACATATGTATAATAAAGGGGAAATGTATACATAAACATGGATACATTAACATAAACATATATATGAAATTTTCATAAGAATGATAAACATTGAATTTTGAATTTTTAAAGAGCTATATGACTATCCCTTTGCAAGGGATATATGCGTACTTTTATTGTATCTATAAGACCTAATCTTTTCATAAAATTTAAGACTAATATGGTATAAGGTAAAAATTTATGAAATTGAATGTTGGGAATATGAGGTTTATTGTCTGTAAGTTTGAAATTGTTCACAGAAATTTAATTACATTTTTTAAAAAACAACCCAAGATAATTCTCAAAAGGAACTCTGCTCTCTATGACCCTCTCAATCATTAGATTTTTTTTAACCTTTCAAAATGCCCTGAAAGTTTTTGTCAGGCCTCAAATGTACATTAAATGGGTGGTAAGACTAAAGATTCTGTATTTCTCTGATTGGTCACTCGGTCTTCTTCTCAAAGCACTTTGTCCATTTGCTTTAAACAGGGAAATATTCTTTTAGCATTAACAATCCAGTTTAATGCATCTCAAGACCAGGTACTTCAATAGGTACTAGTGATTTCTGGTGCTCTTGGGAAAGCTACTAAAAATCACTGTGAAAAAATATATATCCTTTTTGAAAGTATTCGAATCAAGTATTTGAAAGGAAAATTTGTTTCTTCCCTGGATAGAAATACAGCAAGAATTTTAAGAACTGTGTCAGTTTTCAGTCTCCCCAAAGCAACTAAAAAGTCAGCAGACTGCTATCTTCTTCAGGAAAAGGGGTTGGTTTATTCAGACAACATTTCCCACTGAAAACAACTAAAAATACTGACACTGAGCAACATTTTTGTAAACTCCTTAAAAGCATGAACAAACTGACAAGATATAATGACCAAACCTCAGAGAAAAGGAACTCTAGAGAGGTAAGCTGAGCCAACGCTTCTGTTTTTCTTAAGAGTGCTTGCAACCCTGCCCAAAATGGACTTGGGTTTTAGCAGATTTGACTGAGCAAAAAGCACAGAAATCAAAACTCAGGATCTCAAGGCGGGAGTCTAACAAAAGACCACACTAAATTAGGATCCCACAGGCTATGTCTCAAAAGTACACCTATCTGTATCCCTCTTCCCAGCAGGGACTGCAGGAAATTTTCCATCTGTGCTGAGCAGAGCAAAGAGAAGCAGCATAAAGGACCTGCCCTGGGAAATGGTGGCCATGAACTGGCCTCATGTAGATTTGTAGCCCAGGTTCATAGCACCTGGGTGAGCCAAACTTTGACCTATGAATTCAGTTTAAAGAGACTCAAGACTGGCAGTACCCAAAGGCATTGCAAAGCGCACACATACACACACACACTCTCTCTCACACACACACACACACACACACACACACACACACACACACACACACACACACACACACACCTTTTCTGTTTCATTGTGGCTCTCAATGAAAACCAGAAGATCAGCTGGGCTTGGTGGCTCAGCCTGTAATCCCGTGCCTTGGGAGGCTGAGGTGAGTGGATTGCCTGAGCCTACGGGTTCGAGACCCACCTGGGCAACTTGGTGAGACCTCATCTCTACAATAAATAAATTTTAAAAATAGCCGGGCATGGTAGCGCACACCTGTAGTTCCAGCTACTTGTAAGGCTGAGGCAGAAGGATCGCCGGAGCCCAGCAGGTCGAGGCTGCGGTGGCTGGGAGCGTGCCACTGCACTGCAGTCTGGGCAACAGAGTAAGACCCCGACTCAAACAAACAATGACAAAAAAAAAAAATGAATGAGGATGAAATAAAGCATCAGAGAGTATATTACTAATAGACTTGATATTTCAAATGGAGGGTCCAAAATGCAAGAAGGAATGAAGGCATGGAAGGCGGTAAGCACTCATAGATCTTAGTAAATACTGACCACATTAAACAATAGTAACAATGACTTGGGTGATTTTAAAAGATAATAGAATTAAAATAGAAATGATAGCTTATAGGCGGGAGGTAAAGAGAGTTAAAGTGCTTTAAAGCTCTTATGTTGTTCAAGAGAGGGAAAAGCTATTCGTAAACTTTAGACTATATGGTATGTTAACATTGTTTTCTTTTCACTTGTTGAGTAATCATTAAGAGAATGGAAACTGAATATAAAACTTCAAAACCAGTAAAGAAGGAAAAAAAAAGTATGTGAAATAGTCAATATGTTTAAAAGAATAGTAGAGTGACTGGTTAATAGCAAATTACTGTACATTTCAAAATAACAAAAAAAGAATAATTCAGACGTTCCCAGCATGAAGAAAAGACAAATATTTAAGGTGATATCCCAAGTACCCTGAGTTGGTTATATAAATGTATCAAATTGTCATACGTACATCTAAAATGTATCAATTTTTTAATTATTATTTTATTCTAAAGATGTGGGTACAGTTCAGGGTTAGGTACATAAGTGGTCACTGTGCAGGCAAAGTTTGGGTACCCTTATTGATGTTATGTGCACCCCCTGGCAGTGTTCAATTACTGCCAATCCCTTTCTTACAGTATTATGACAAACGTTCAGGGTCCGCTTATGAGTGAGTACATGTAGTACTCAGATCTTTGTTTCTGTGATACATTTAAAATATAAAAGATAGCAAATGGGAAAAGAGAAGCACAAGATATGCTGGACAAAATAAGATCAGACACTGCTTTAGACATAAACTACTGCCAGGTCAGGTGCAATGGCTTATGCCTGTAATCCCAGCACTTTGAGAGGCTGAGGTGAGTGGACTGCCTGAGCCCAGTAGTTCAAGACCAGCCTAGGCAACATGGCTAGACCTCATCTCTATTTTAGTTAATTAATTAATTAATAGAAATAAACTACTGCCACATGTTGAAAAAAATTGACTCACCACACAAACATAATACTGGGAAAATAACAAAAACTCACATAAAATAAGATTCTCTGTTTCCAACATTTAAAAGCAGGTCGGGATCCCTACCTATCCCCATACACAATAATAAATTCTAAATGGATCAAAGACCTAAATGTAAAACCTCAAACTATAAGAACCTTAGAAAATGCAGGAGGTACTCTTACGAAAGTTGGAACTGGCAATCAAGTCCTGATCAAAACCCCAAGGGTTCATGCCATAAAAGATAAGATAGACAAGTGGGACCTCATCAAACTGACAAGCTTCTGCAAAGCCAAAGAAACCATCAAGAGAGTGGGGAGACAGCCCACAGACTAGGAAAAAATGTTTGTCAACTCTATGTCTGACAAAGACCTAACATCTAACATCTTCAAGGAGCTCGACGTGCCAAAAAGAAAAACACAAACAGCCCAATTACAAAGTGGGCAAAAGATATGGAATAGACAGTTCTCAAAAGAAGACATACAAGCAGCCAACAACAGATGCCAGAGAGGATATGGCAAAAAGGGACGGACTACTTCTACACTGTTGGTGGGAGTGTAAACTAATGCAACCTCTGTGGAAAACAGTGTGGCGATTCCTAAAAGATCTAAAAATCGACCTTCCATGTGACCCCACAATCCCCCTACTGGGAATATACCTGGAAGAACTCAAATCACTCTGTAAAAAAGATACCTGCACACGTATGTTTATCTCTGCATTGTTCACAGTAGCGAGAACATGGAACCAACCATGCTGACCATCAAAAGAGGACTGAATTTTAAAAATGTGGTACATATACACGATGGAATATTATGCAGCCATGAAGAAGAACAAAATCATGAACCTCACGGCAACTTGGATGGGCTTAGAGTCTATAATATTGAGTGATCTTTCACAGAAACAAAGAACTGTATCACATGTTCTCACTCATAAGCAGACCTTGAACAATTACCATAACACAGTAAGAAAATGACTGGCAGTAGTGGGAAACGGCCAGGAAGGGGGCAGAGAAGCGGGATTGACAGTAGTGGAAATCTGCCTGGGGAAAGAGGGGGCACACCTCATCAACAAGGGTACCTGCACAATGATCATTTGTATACCTAACCCTGAATTGTACCCCACATCTTTAAAATTAAAAAACAAAACAAAAACAAAAGCAGGCCAGCCTTGATGGGGCTCTCATCAATGGTCCCAGCTACTCAGGAAGCTGAGGTGGAAGGATTACTTGAGCCCTGAAGTTCAAGGCTGCATTAACTATGATTGTGCCACTGTAGTCCAACCTGTGCAGCAGAGCAAGACTTCAACTCTAAAAATGAAAAATAAATAAATAATAAAAATAGGCTATATAGGGAAATCTACATAGGTATCAAAAACATAAAGAAAAGCTTAGAAATTATCACCAAAGCCAGGGGTAAAACAGAAGATTTAGGGGTTTCTGGAGTATATGTGCTCAAATTCTCAGTGGCAACGAATTGAGTATTTGCTTGCTTGTTTTATTTATTTGTTTGTTTGTTTGAGTCTAAATCTCACTTTGCTACCCAGGCTGGAGTGCAGTGGCACCAGCACAGCTCACCGCAGCCTCAGATTCTTGAACTCAAGCAATCCTCTCTCCTCAGTGCCCCGCCCCCTGCCCCAAGTAGCTAGGACCACAGGCATGCACCACCTCACCCAGCTTATTTTTTTTTTATTTTTGCAGAGATGATGTTGCCCAAACTGATCTTAAACTCCTGGGCTTCAGCAATCCTCCTGCCTCAGCCTCCCAAAGTACTGGGATTATAGGTGTGAACCACTGTGCCTGGTGGAGTATTTGCTTTATAATGATCTATTAAACTTCACACTTTTTACAAATTTTTATACGTGTTGCCTTTCCAAAAGAAGTTTAATACTTTTCACTATTAAAGGCTTTTTTCTTGTATGTATATAGTGATGTGGCCTATTGAGCAGATTAAACATCTCCACAATAAAATAAAGCAGATGTGGTTTACAATTTTTAAAAAATGTTTAAAACAAAGTTAGCCAAGTCACACGATTGTGCTGCCTCTAATCTTAGTCATGCCTTCCACAGTGCTTTCTTCTTCTTCCTCTCCACAGACCATCATCCATGGGCTCGTCCTCCTAGGCAGCTTCCTGATGTACTTTGTGGTGTCCCTGCTGTACAACGCTACCTGTGTCATCTGTAACAGCCCCACCAATCCCTACTGGGTGATGGAAGACCAGCTCTCAGACCCCACTTTCTATCTCCTTTGCTTCCTCACACCCGTCGTGGCTCTTCTCCCAAGGTTTGAGCAATGGTGCTATTTCTTTCTGGAATTACCAGTCTCCCCTTAACAAGCCATTGTCAGAGCCCCACAGTCAGGAGTTTAACTTCTGCTGGGATCCTTGAGGCTATCGTACCAAAGGCAGGGTGCTGGGACAGAAAGAACAATGAACCAGGAGGCCGATAATATGGAGTCTGGTCCCGTACCACCACAGAGTAGCAAAGTCACCAAACCTGGTATGGCCTCAATTGTGACATCTGTAAAATGGGAATTATAATTCCTACCCTGCTGCCTTAGAAATTATGTTGTGTGATAAGGAATCATGTGGTACATAAAGCTCTGTGGTACTTTATATATTAGTCCAGGCATCTCTCACTCAGATACCTGCTGGGACAGCAAACATCTGCAGCAAGCCAGATGGAGTGCAGAAATTGGAAGAAAGTTCTCAGCTTCTCCTGTCATTGCCATAAAGAAAGATCGAGTCGGGCATTACAGGGCCCACATGAGTCCCAGAAATGCAAATTTTGCATGAAATCTCTAACTTTTTTAATATTACTCAAACTTGTTTAAACACACACACATACTAAGCAAAACCTGTTCTAGCCAAATAAATTATCCATGCCCAGGGACTATTTCTGACATTTTCAGGCTAAACCCTCTGCATTCACCTTTTCCAGAAAAATAGCAACAGAAACAGCAATAAAGCCTTGTCTTTCCTTGGAACTCACTCTTGACATATGCCATCCTTTCTAGCCTGTCATTTTGCTTTTGTCATCAGTTAAGAGTTCAGCAGAGCTGTGGTTCAAGTCCACCTGCTCGTGGGACAGCCAAAGTCCCAAGAGGGATCAGAAAGTGTCCACAAGCCCTCACAAATCTTAGTGGTAACTAGATTCTCCCAACTCAGAGGCCTGTGTTCTATTCTCCAACCTATACTCGCTAGCCAGAACAATCAGTGAACTTGAAAATAATGTATCCACAGGCTAGACTTAGCCTCTATCACCAGTCTCACAACTATGAACATCACAACTGAGCCACTTGATCACTTTAAGCAGGCAATCACAACATTGTACAAAACTTCGTTCATCTCAAAACTAGGCAGAGAGTCATACACAAGTCTTGCTTCATTTAGTAAGTTTAGCAACTTGCCTGACCCAGACTGGTCTTTGTTTCCTTTTCTTGACCTCACAAGTAAGGTCAGAGGCTAAAAATACCAAGATGGCAAATACTATTGCATCAGTAAACCTCAGAAGTGTTGATTAAGTTCTAAGTATTTGCTGTGTGTCCGACCTGCCTGCAGGGCCCCTACTGGTCTCTACAGCCTCATCTCTCAACTCCTTGCTTCAAACTTTAGGCTCCACACCTCCAAGCTGCTTATATCCCCCTAAAGGCTGCAGGACCTCTCTCCTCCCTGTTCCTTCTTTTTAGAATAGCTCTTCCATCACCAACCTTCCTCACCCTTAACATCATGTCAGGCATGACCAATTCCAGAAACTCTGTTCCAGATGTCAGAGCTTTGGGCTGAAGAAGATGCTTCTCCCATATCCCCATCACCTGAGTATATCTGTCACTACATTTTTCCTGTTTGTTATTAAGTATCCATATATTTCTGTCTGACCATCAACTTCTGGAGGGAAGGTAACCTCCTTGACTTTATTACCCACCACCTAGCACAGTTCCTGTCACATAGTCTGCACTCAGAGGTGAATGAACAATGGACACTGAAGGAACAGAAAGATGAATGGGACAGAACCCCTGCTCTTAAGAAGTCTCCTCTCCAGTGGATGGTTTGAACCACAGGCATGACGATAGCACAGGTCAAAGTGATGCCTCAATAGAGGACCCTGTGAATGTAAAGTGGAAAACAGTTAAGAGTAGGCACAAGCCTTGGGGAAAATATTTCCCATTTCTTTCTTCAGCCCAAGACCTTGGGAGAAGGACACTGGGAGGGACCACAGGGTCCATGCCCTCATGGAAAAGGGACATCAAATACGTAGTGAAATATTTTTGTCCCCACTTTTAAGATTAAACACTGTTGGAATCACCATTGGCCAAGCACTGAGCTCCTCTATTCTGTGTCTTATTTAGGGTATGAAAAGAGAAATTTATAAGCCCCATTTTTTTTCAAAAGCTTTAGGGGTACAAGTTATTTTTGGTTATCTGGATAAATTGTATAGTAGTGAAGTCTAGGCTTTAGTGTACCTGTCACCTGAATAGCGTCTATTGTACCCAATAGGTCCCATATTTTTTATCTCTGCCTTAACTAGAAAATGTACTTGGAGCCAGAGTCTACAAGGCTGAAGAAGTAGCAGTCTGATGAGGATCCTTGAAAAGTTTGCTAAGATTGTAGGCAGGAATGTTTTGAAAAGACAGGCACTCTGCCTTATAGCTTTTTAAACAGATGAAGAGCAAATCAGGGGAAAGTTGGCAAATATTTACTTGCTAGTTACTATAAAACGTAAGTTAAATCTTTGCTGATTTTACATTAGCAGAACAAAGTTGAATTTCTGTTTAATTCTGTTTACTAAGAAAAGCAAAAAGATTTCCTCTAATAGTGAACAGACTATTTTAATAGTTCTAAGGACCACTGATTTGTAACCTTGAAACACTCCCTGTTTGTTTATAAAAACCTACCTGATCGCCTGTTTACTGTAGAAAACTGTATTTGTTCACTTACAGTTGTAAACCATGTTTTTCACAATAGAGACTGACTTTACTCACCAAGCAATAATTATCCCACTAACCATGACCTCACTTTTCCTGGTCTATTTAGTTCAACCAATATAAAAGGACAGTACAAATTTTATTAAACTAGAAACACAGATACATGTAAATAGTTGTACAGATAAAACAAAAGTAACTAACATATTAACCTTAAAACCCAATGTCGTTTTTTAATTAGCTACAATAGAGGGTAATAGTCCTTAGACACTTTTCCCTTGGCTTTGATGACCCAACACACTCTGAGTTTTTCTCCTACTTCTCCTTCTTTGTTTCCTTTGCTAACTCATGACCTTGACATGGTGTATATCAAGCTAGGTTCACTTGTCTGATAACTTTATGATCTCTCCATAAACATGACAATCACTACTGTGGATTCAAAAGTCATTTCTATCAGATGGATCTCTACCATAAATTTCCAGATCAGACCTCTCTTCTGAATTCCAGACACATCATCACCTCCACTGGGCATATTAAGTCTGAGGAAACTGGGAGACAATTTATAATTTAATTCATGATTCTACCATCTGTCACCATTCCAGAAACCTGGATCTTTCCAGAGTTTCTGTCAGGAAATGCTACCCATTGAAGAGGAAGGCAGCCCCCTGGAAGTTATCCTTGACATTACCTGTTAACTAATGCTGATATCTAGCCTGACACCAAATCCTGATGGTTCTACCTGCTACATACTTCTCAAATTCATCTGCTGTTTCAATTTCTACAGCCACCACCATGGATAGACTATTACCCCTTCACCCCAGATTACTTAAAATAGTCTCCTGTTGGGTCTTACTCTAGTTCATTATCATTGAATCCAAGTGTGATCATGTTGCCTATTTATAACCCCCAAGGGCTTCCCAAGACCTTTGAAATAAAGCATGAAAACCAGCCAGGCTCAGTAGCTCAGCCTGTAATCCCAGCAATTTGGGAGGCCAAGGCCCACAGGTTCAAGACCAGTCCAGACAACTTGGCAAGACTTCATCTCTACAATAAATCAAAAAAATTAGCTGGGCATGGTAGCACATGCCTGTAGTTCCAGCTACTTGGAAGGCTGAGAAGGAAGAATTGCTGGAGCCCAGCAGGTCAACGCTGGGGTGACCATGAGCGTGCCACTGCTCTCCAACCTGGGCAATGGAATGAGACTCCAACTCAAAAAAAAAAAAAGAAACATGAAAACCAGAACCTGGCCTACAGTTCCTGCCTGCTATGGTCCAGTCAGTCTTTTCTGGGTCATATTCCCCTACTCTCATTCTCACATCCCATACTTGGTTCATTGTTTTGGTTTTGGTTCAAAAAGCCAGGCACAATGCCTGGCTGCCTCCTATGCACCCCTCAGTTTTCTGATTAAATGTTTCTTCCTCAAGGAAGGTCTCCCAGACCAAATCAGATGTTTGACACCCTCATTGCTCCTTCCATTTATAACTATATTCACATGCAACATGACAGCAAGGACCTTATTTGTCATGTTCACAGCTTTAATCTCTCAGGTCTTGGCCCATTGTGGGTACTTGAAATGTATTTTTTGAATAAATGGGTGAACGAGGAAAGTGGTCACTTAGAGGAAAGGTTTATACTTAGGAATTCCAGTTTCAAAGCAAGAAGTTAAGACTTTCCTGGAATACATTCATGGTCCCTAGCACCTCCCTGGGTGAGAGGAGAAAGGTGAAGAAAAGCTTATCTGATTCCATGAGATCTACTATAGTCTTCAGAAACCTCTTGCCCATTGTGGAGTCGCCCTGCAGCTTTAGACATAGTAGAATAATGGGAGCCTCTCTGCTTTTAAGGCTTTAAACATCAAAAAAAATTAAAGAAATTGGAAATGAGTTTAGATGTCCTCTGTGCTAGATGGATTATTTTTTAGATAAAGCAACTGACCCCCAGAGAGGACATGTGAGTTGCCCAGTGCCAAATCTAGGTATAGATTTGATAACCATCAGTTAGGAGAGCAGTAAAGATCTTGCCCTGGACAGGGAGTTGGATTCCAAGATCCCTTTCAAGGCTGAAATGTAAGAAGTCAACACAAATCAGAAAATATTTTTATTCTGTTATTTCTCACCAGATACTTTCTCCTGTCGCTGCAAGGGACCTATGGGATGTCTCTGATCTCAAAAGCTCAAAAAATTGATAAACTCCCCATGGACAAAAGAGACCTAGAAATCCAGAGTTGGAGACGCAGACAGTGGTCTTCACCTGTATCTGAAATTTCTCATCCCACCCACCATCCAATGCCACCCATCCCAGAACAGGACTTCTGCAAAAGCACTCCAAAGAACACTAGCCCTCCCAAGCGGAAGCACACTGAGGACTTGGTGCTCCATGGACAGAGATGTGGCAGAGAGCACGTGAGGGATGATCCATGTTCAGGGAACTCCTCAGCTAAACTCTCATCTGGAGAACATCTTCTGGGGCTTAATAATACAATGGCTTCTGGAGCCTACTCAAGAGGACAGAATGACGTGTCCCGGCGCTCAAAGAGTGGCAGCCATCGCCGATCCCAGAGTTCACTGACCATATGAGGGGGCTGCAGGAATCTGTACAAACTCAGCAGAGGCCACCCAATCACCGGCCCAATTAACCCTTGACCTTTCCTCTTCATAGAGGAAAGGATATGTCAGTCTTACCACTTTCTCCACACCAGGCTTGACTTTCTTAGAAGAAGTACTGACCCCAAGGGGTTGGACACAAAACGATTGGAAGACCAGTCAGCCTCTAGTGATCCCCTGCTGCCCACCAGCACATCATGCAAACTGAAGAGTTTGTAATAAGGAGGCTTTGTTGCTGTTGCATTATGTTCTCAAATTTTCTAGCCCAAAGACAGTCTTCTGGCCCTCTGGTTGAGAATAGTGCAACTGGGCCATAAGTTTTCAAGATTCCAAGAAGTGTGTCAACCCAGGCAATCCCCCAGGATATGGAAGTTTCAGGCTTGTCAAACCATTACCTCATCCCTTGGTGCCAAGAGTTAAAGTTTCAGAAGCAATTCATGCACACAAGGGCTTCATCTTGAGTGTATTGCAGTGATGCCCAAGTCAGAGTTAACATCCTTTCCCTTCACAGAGAGTTGGGTCTTCTTTTTGTCTTTAAGCCAAAGAAATCCCCCATCTAAAGATGAAAAGTGGATTGAACTTAGTGCCACAGACACTTCTGAGTGTTGTAGGATCACAGTTAGTGTAAAAGGCAGGAAGAACAGACATGCAAAAGGGAACAGGTGCACCAGAGGCCCCTGTTTTAGCTAACAGACCATATGCTCCACCATCTGGGAAATCTGCCAAGAGGACATAGGCAGCAATCTTTTTTTAAACTATTTATTGTATTTATTGTTTAAATAAAATTACCCATACCCATACTTACAAATACTCTGTCAGCTCTTAGAACAACAACAAAAAAAATTCTAAGATCAGGAAATCTTAGCACATCTGCACCCAAAATAGGCCCATGTGAGAGAGCAATTCAGCTCAAACAGTAACATCTTTAAGGGTAGGACTAGCATTCAGCTCCATTTATTCAACACTGACAAATTCTTCATTCAGTTAAGTTAAGAAGAGTCAGAGGAAGCTTCATTTCAAAGGAAAAAGAATTACATCGACTTCTTCTCCCTAGAAGTCATAAATGCCAAAAATGCAGAAGAGTTCAAAACAATGCTTAATAAAACAATGGATGATAGATTCTAATAGACTGTGAAGGGAAGCCAAGTGTGCTGCGGGCAGGGATAACCTATTCCTAGTCTTGAATAATAAGTCAGGGATGGTTACTGAGCCTCCTTAAGCAAGTGCACCTATATTAGGCAAAAAGTACAAAAATGAACGCAACAGGTATGGCCAGTGTTTGAGCCTACAAGTCACAGTCACCAGCCGTGGGTTGGCCCATTACGTGAGTAACTCCTCAGCAAAGATGCCAGGAAACGTTCAACAATCAAGTTGACAAATGGCAGACAGGTGGCCCTCTGACCATCTTCCTGGCAAACCTAGACTGCAGGGGCCATTTGGAGCATCATCCTGGAGCCAGTTCACTGCATCTCTCTCAGCACCTCTGCCACGTAATGATGCCAGCACCAGCCAGCTGGTGGGTATTCAGGAATCCTGCATGAGGATTGCCAAAGGAGGGGCAGGTAAACACACCAGACAAAGCAATGATGACATGAACTGTTCCAAGGGAGGGGACTGAGTCTAAACTTGGACTTCAGCATCCCCTGTGCAATTCTTGCCTACTGCTAAAAGCCAGAAAGAATCAAGTAGGATGCTTCAGAAGAGGAAGAAAAGTGGCCTCAGGAAATCTGAGTTTGAATCTTTGCCTCTTTTCTTTCTAAGATCCAGGAGCCTTGAAGCAGCATGTAACACCTGAAAAGTAGGTTAGAATTAGCCTTCCTCCCAGACTTGCCATAAGGATCAAGCCAAAATTACATGAAAACCAATAGTAAAAACCCTTTGAAAACTGTAACACCCTCAGTAATAATAACAAATGGAATTCTTATTTCAGTGCTAAAGGGAAAAGAGGTGATGGGGACTTTTTTTTAAATGCCTGATCCTCTTCCTAAATTCCAAACTATACCCAACATTCAGATGCTGCTCTTTATCTTGCATGACCAACTGTCACCTTTTGCCAGGTACTTTCCCATCGATACAGAGTCCCACATCCTGGGGACTCTGGCATAACTGGTCCCCAATCTTGCCCCATTTTTGTAAATCAAACCAACAGGGACCATTCAATGTACCATCTTAGGGAGGAAAGTTATAACTACTTCCCTATAACATTATGCTAATGATTGTACTTAGTACATTTTTATACATGTATGATCTTTTACTGATTGACTGAAAATATGTCATCCTCTATTTTAAAAAATAAACATGGTTTTCCATGGTTGTATGCCAACTTGAAGTCCTTGTTCCTTCTTCATGTCATTATCACTGGTTCTGAGCACTCTCTCATCCACCCGTCCACCTTTGCATTTATTCATTTATTCATCCACCCATTTATCTAGCCAATACATTTCTGTTAAGCCCCTACTACATGCCTGGCTATGTGCTAGGGACTGTGAATTCTGTGGGCAGTGATGATGTGAGGGTTCTGATCTTAATTCCTGTTTTACAGAAGTTCTTGACCTCGTTGAACACTTTTCTTCTCCCCAACCACCACCAAAGGCATAGAGTATCAGGAACACATCTGACCTGACATGAAAGTATGACACAAATCAAAAGGGCTGTAAGAATTCGAAGAAGCACACACAGCCTGAAACTCTACCCTGGCTACTCCCTTCTTCCTGGAAGCCTGACACCAACCTCAAGCCCAGACTGATTGGGGTGTCACTTTACATTCACTCGTTCAATCAGTGTCAGTTGGGTACCTGCTGAACACAGCATTGTGGAAAGCAGCAAGGATAAAATAGGGAACAAAAACAGTCCCAGCTCCTGCCCTCAAGCAATTCACAATCTAGAAAGGCAGACAGACACTATTTTTTTTTAAGTGAGAAAGCAGAATTTATTAAGAGGACAGAAAAGCTCCCACAGTGGGAGAGGACCCAAGGAGGTTGCCTACAGACACTATTAAGGAAGCCAATAGGCATGTTATTACATACTATAAAAGGAAGCAAGAATGGAGGAGAAGGGAGAAGGTGGTTCCCAGGACAGTCAGACATGGGCTCTCCAAGAAAAAGACATTTTCAGCTGAGACCTCAACACCAAAACAAGTTAGAAAAGAAGGTACATTCAGAGCACTGAGTACAAAAGCCCAGGAGAAAGAAAAGCGTTTAGCATACTCAAGGAAAAGAAAGGAGGTTGGTGTGGCTAGAGGCCAATAAGCAAGCAGGAAGTGCCACGTGATGACATTAGCAACAGTTGTATTGACTCACCATGTGTGGGTGCCGGTCTAGCACACACTGTCATGTCAACCCCACAGCAACCCTACAAGGTAAGGACTAACACTAGCCCCTGTTTCAGTTAGCTTCTGCTGCTTAACAAACCACTCCCAAGCTTGGCAGATTCATACAGCAATCATTTCTGTGCTCACGAGACTGTGAGTCAGCAAGTTGGACCGGTCTCCATCAGAACACCTCTTCTTTGCTCCACATGGTGTCGATGGAACTTGCTTCTGTCTGGGGTCTTGGCCGGCATGATCCCTCATCCTTAAGGAGGCCAGCCTGGCCTTGTCCTATGGCAATAATGTTCTGGAAGTAAGAATAGAAGCCGCAAAGCCTCAGAACCTTCACATCATCACTGCCCACTTGCATTCTATGGAAGGAAGTCCCAAGGTCAGCCCAGTTTCAAGGGTGCGGGGAAATACACTCCACCTTTTCAAGGAAAGAACTGTAGATAAATTTGGGGCTATTTTCAACCTACCTCATCCCCTTTTACTAAGGGAGAAGCTGAGACAAAGAGAAGTTATAAACGTGTCACGGTCACACAATTAACAAGTGGTGAGGTGGCATTCTAATCTGGATAGTCTGAAACCAGAGACTATACTCACAAAGCTGAGTCACCACAGAGCTACACAACCAGAAAATGAGGCTGGAGGGCAGATAGAGACCAGATGACAGAGGGTCTTGTCTTTTCAACATTCTCTTGAGAGGCAAGGTAGTACAGTGGTTAGCAAGCCTGAATTCCAACCCAACTCTGTCACAGACCTACAATGTGACCTAGGGAAAGACACATGGTATCCAACCGGGTTGCTGCTCAGATAAAAGCTCCAGAAATTAAGGAAAAGACTAGCACCTAAGGAAAACTGTAATTTGTGCCTGCATTGCCCTAAAATATTTTCCCCACCCTGTCCCTGAGCTTGGCACCCAGCTAGACCTTCCCATGTGCACAGAGAGCCCCATGAGATGTCAGTTACACATGAGTAAATGCAGGGAACCAAAGAATAGATTCCCTCCAAGGGAGCCTGGGACTCACAAGATTCTACTGATAAAGGAGGTGGGGGCTGTAAGCTGGGGGAAAAAAAACCTGCACAGGCAGGTCTTTTGAGGCTACTCCCCAAAGGAGCTGCCCTGTCAAAACTTCAGAACACTCACAATGAAAACTTGGGCATTTTCACACAGGAACCAAGTCCAGGAGCCTTTTTTTGTTTGAAGGTGTTCTGGTGCCACCTAGCAACGGTGGAAGGGGTGCCTCACTGAGGGTTCTTCCCACAGCAGGAGTAGGGAAGACAGGGCTGAGTGGGAACAGAGCCAGGAGTCAGAAGCCAGCTTTCAAGTCTGGGTCTACAGCAGATTCTGGACAAATCCCTTCACCAGGTTTCAACCTCAAACTGAAGTTCACCTCAGTTTCCCCCAAACTCTCAAGGTGGAAACTGGACTGGCTTTCACATTCTGCAATTCTAGAACCACTGGGGAAGGCTGGTTACAGGATAACAATGACCTCTGGTGCATGCAAGGCCTTGCAATGTACTATTTGTGCAGCTATTTGAGTCTCTCTCTCTCTATCTCTGTCTATCTCTCTCTCTCTCTCTCTCTCTCTCTCTCTCTCTCTCACACACACACACACACACACACACACACACACACACACGGAATGGAAAATCCTGTGAG